AAAACAATTTGGTAACTATTAGGGCCAAAAGCCTCTCCTTCTTTGTCTCAACAATTTGTTTAGTTCTGGGAAGAGCACGAATAGCTGTTTCTTTTTTATAACCTAAATCCCAATATCGTTGGGAAACTGTAACTGTGTGACCTTTTTAGATATTCTTCTGCCGTAGGGAAATTGCTAGTGACTTCTGTTTTAAAAGAGTTTTGCATTTAAACTTAGGTAAAATATGGAAATGATGACGATATGTAGGATTTCAAGTTTCCTCCTAGCCATTTCCATACCTACAAGAACATTCATTACAAATTTCTCAGAATACAGATCACAAACGATGCCATACTGTTTATTATAAGATTTTACTCGTAATATCAATACGAATTGGTTTTGGATTTTTGGATTAACTCTTGGCAGATCTATTTTAATGACTATGTAATGAGGCTTGGGAGATGGAGGGTGGTAAGAATGCTTCCGCTCATATTTGCAAAATTATTATAAACATTAGTTGTCGAAACTACTTCGTACATTGATCAAGAACTCAACAAAATTCTGTAGGTAAGTTCACATTAACACGGTTGAAAAAAATCTTAACTTATCAACTAGACCGTTGGATGTATATATTATGCATACCTTCGGGTGGTAACGTTTTGGAAGTTGGAGACTTTTGAAGCAGTGAAACACGACTTTAATCCGTACAAATCGCATTCAGAAAGTTGTACCCATTACAATAAAAATAAATCAAGTGGCCCTCAAAGATTTTCGCAATAAATCCCGCATACAACAAATGTATACATCGTGGTTGTAGTGCTTTTATCAGTTACTACGGTTTGACAAATGTACTTACTTTCGAGACTTTTCTCCTTTATGTGACTCGTACAAACTAATCATTACAAATAGCCGTAGCGTGGACAAAGTAAAGTTTTCTTTCGTTTTTCTAAAAGAAATATCGTACGTATCGTGTAAGCTTGAAATGCTACACGTTGCCAATATTTTTTTCCCTTTAGAGGTTTCTTCTCATTTCTAGCAGCCCCTTACTCTGCTATTCTTTGGGATGCTCAATTGGAATTGAATTTGAAAACAAAATTTCCTTATGCGTCTCTTACGCAATTGTTTCAGTCTTTTTTTCTGGTCCAAAACTCACAGACTACTCATTTTATCCACAAGATGACATGTCATCCTGTAATTGTTTCAACATATAATTCATTGTAAGTAACGTCTAAATTTAACTTTAATCATTTATTGTACTGATTATTGTAGTTCATGTCCTGACGAAGTAAATCAACATTCACGTAAATTTGACCTGAAAAAGAAGAATTATTATCTTAATTGCTACCGATACCCAGTAGTCTAATATTAACGGATTTTTGTAGAGGTATACTGGGCTGGGCTGTTAGAGTAGGCTTGGCTGAAAACCCCATATATTTAAAAAAAAAGGTAAAATAAGATAAAATAACTAATAGAAACCTTTCGTGTCATGCCATACAATTCTGCTTAGGTATAAACTTAATTCCAAATTATCCGAAATTAGAAAAGCCCTGCTTCAGCATTTATGGCAGATCACTCACAATAATTGTTTGTATATCAATGTATTTTGTTGTATTACACCAAGCTGTCTGAAATGTAATGCCCCATAATATTCGAGACAGGTACGAAAACTTTTGATTTACGGCAAATTTTAAAAGATATTTTGGAAAATGTGGAATTAGATTCGCCATTTTAAAATGATCGCCACTTTAAATTTATGAGGTGTTCAGAGTGCTTCCCATACAAAAATGACCTGCTTCAGGTTATGGCAAGTGACCTAAATACACAATTTTACAAGAATCCTCCTAACTGTTTGACATGTAAGCTATGGGGACTTTGTTGTTGGAATACATGATTGCATTACCAGTAAAACAGCAGCACCTAAATCCGATAGTTCAAATTATGGAATTTGTACTATGAAAGTATTTTATTAGTTACTACTTTCTTTGTTTCCTGTTTTGAGAGGGTAACCAGATTTACACTTTTCAGGTCGGTGGAGAGGTTGCTTCGAATACTGGAGTGGCGTGTACCCATAGGTTTCTTCGTATTCCAGCTTCCATATGAAACTTTTTTGCATACCATAGGACAGAGGAGATACGTTTTATCTTTCGTACACCAAACTACTTCTGTGACGCAAGTTGGTTGCACGAATTCAACATGATCAAAGGCACGTCCGCCGCTGCTGCTATAGCAAAAGTTTTTTTATACTTATCAGTAGGTGTACAAGTATATCCAAGGTCACTTCTTTAAGTAACAACTTTGTAGGAAAAACCGAAAACGTAAAGTGGCGACCTTGGAATTACGACAGACTGCATGTAGTAGTTACTTTGTCGCGGAAGGTGAGTGTTTGACCTACACTGGAATTTAGTAATCACATATTAACAAAGTGCAAGAGCTCCTTGACAAGTTTGGGGGATCCCATCCCATTATTCACGTTTTTCACCTCGACAGGTTAGTCTTGTTTCGGTATTGCACGTCACAACAAGGCTGTAACCTTGAGTCTTCTTACGTTATCCAGCCGTAAGTGTTGTTGACTATTTAAAGGAAAAACCGGACCATCTCTTCTAGTAGCAGTGTAGCGATTTAAATTAATCTGCATAATATACTTTTAATGTTTGAATCCCAAGTGATAAGTTTACGTAACTTGATCTTTGACTTGGTTTGGTAGATTAATTTGAAAATATTATTCTGTACCAAAACTACATAGGGTACTGACCATATTCTAGGGCGAAAATGAAAACTTGGTCATCAACCTGTATAGGCAAGTATTTTTTAACCATACGCTAAGTGAACCATTTTATTAGTTGCAGCTGTTGTATGTTTCTGTCAAATAACCTCTACGCATTCACAAGCCATAATATTTGAGGATGATGAAGACATGCGACCGGCTCAACCAACCAGTTCGCCAACACCAAACGACGTCGATGCTCAACCAGGCTTAGTTGATGCTGCAACATTTACAGTATGTTACAATGATTGTCAATCGCGCGTTCTGAAAGAATTCAATCCTCTATGCGGCTCGAATGGATTTACATATGATAATCCAAGGTTATTCAGATGTGCACAGAACTGCGGCTTAAGTAAGTCATGGTCGCGTAACTTTTTCCATAATGGATGAACGGAGAGCCCTGAACCAGGCTTGAATTGAGTTATTCTTTTTTCAGGAATAACGGTATCCTCTCCTGGTCGCTGCTGATTAGTCCAAAAAGAAGTACGTACCGTGCGCAATTACCAAAACCTATCCATTCGAAAGCCTAATAGGTAGTAAGATTTTATATTTTTTGTTATTTTGTTTAACGGAACAACTATTGTTAATAGAATACGATTTTCCTTTATTATAAATTGTTGAACATCTTGACATTTTTAAACACTATTTGCAATTTGGAGAAATGTAACCGAATTGTTTGAGTTTGAGTCGGAGAAGTTACTGGGGAGATTATAATATTTTACTCATTAATCAAAAGTTCTATATGAAAATTGAAATTTTATATTAAAATACGATTTCGGGTAAAATTTAACACAAAACTCGTCACTAAAATGACATTACCTGATGTATGTAGTAATGTATCATTTTCCTGACTGTTATATAAATAACTATTAGATTGGTGGCATGTAGCCTTTGGTCCAGTCATTCTATGCCAAAAAACGGCAAATAGAAAAAATTCGTGTAGTTGGCACAGGTAATGTATAAAATATGCCAGCCTTCTTGCATCCACAGCTAGTTCTGCATCTGGCAGTAGAACAACAACAAAATTGTTCAAGTTCAGCTGTGACTGGAGAAATGACTCCCCCCAGAACAATGGAGTTGGAAAAGAGGAAGAGGTGACACCTTCACCCAGTAAGGAACACACCTACGCAAGCCCAGAGGAAATTTTACAAGCCATTTTTTGCCGTCGTTCGACTACCAACTGCAGGGCTAGCTGTGGGTGGGGTGGGTGGGCTGGCATGTTACGTACCATACCTGCTCCAACTGCCAAGGAAGCTGTTTAACTCTTCGCCAATGCTAGTAGAAGATGAAGGGGACGTAGACGATACCCATGGATAGGAATTGTACGAATATCTGAATTGGACATTATCTGCGCTCATGAAATTTCACTTCATTTTTGTTGTAGGGAAAGTCGGACTTCCGAAGCGCAAACGCCACACATATCATTGATTCTTGAAGGAAATTGAATTCCCTACCACCATCCCCTAGAGCTAGAGCAAAAGTTCGACCGAAAACGAGAGCTTTTTTAAAATTGTTCACCTTCAAGAGCCCGCACCTGGAAAAGATTTTTGGAAAAATGCATAGAAACAAAGCTGTAGAAAATTTGATGAGCTTTTGATTTTGATGAGAAAATTTTTTCCTACCAGCTCCCATTTTCGGGATATAGCAGAAAAACTGTAAAACTGTACCTTCAGTCTCCGGCGGCACCGAAATTGCTCAGAACATCAGGGTATCTTCAACCACACATTCCCAAACAAATTGGAACTACACGAATTATTGTTTCTGTATTTCCTAGAATGACCACCATACTAATAATTCATTTGGAAGATGATATTTTTGTAACTGATGATTCAGATTAATGTTTTCCGGTTTATTCAGATGTCGACCTCAAGATTTGAAGTCAACAAAATGGCTGGTGAAGGGCGCCTGCGGTGTTTCAAAATTCATGTGGAGATCCAAAAGGAACACGTCCTCGGTAAAAAGGCTGTGGTACGATTTTTACCAGGACGAAAAGAGGAAGATCGGCGAACAAGTTAGGCGGAAGTGGATTGTCCGTTACTTTTGTTGTCTTTGACATTGCCTGGTTGTGTGTGTAATATATTTTATACGAAATCATTCTCGTCTTTTCTTACGCACAAAATTTTGTTTATTCAATTTCCTTTCCCATTTGTGTATCAAAAAACCGCCAGTTTTAACCCCGATTGCTACCCGAAAATCGAAAGTGCCGCATTTTTCTGGACATGAATAAGTAACGGTGGCTCTGCTCGTGAGTATGGGGTAAAGTCAAAATTGCAGTCGCTTCTCAACTTCTTTATTGCGGGCGTTACTATTACGTAAAAACAATTAAAATGATTCTTTTACATTTTGTCCTTTACGTCCAAATAATAATGCCCACCTTGTTAGTAAAAGATCATGACATAGACAACCTGTTACAAATAACTATCAAAACATTTTTTTTTAGTAATTGGTCAGTAGAAGTCGTTAAGGTATTCTACCCACAATGCAGCATTGCCTCGAGGGCTGCCTATAGACCTACGTATTCTCTTCCATTGATTGCATGATGCTATGTTAGCTATGTAAACATACTTAGTGATGACATCATAATGCATCGATGACGTGCACGCAAACTAAGGAAAATCCTACAATAGCGCCGAAACTTAACACGACCCATCCTAACCGCGCCGCCGAGACCTTTCCGACGATACCTCGCACGCCTTCCTACGACTTTTCGTTACCGAGATTTGTACCGACAAAAGTGTGCGTAGTTAGCAGAACATCTAAAAATCGAAACTACTTCCATTTCCAAATGGTTTGTTTTGCTAACTTTTTACGGCTTAGCACTAAGCAATCCACGTAGTCCGATGCTGCCAATGTTCTGATAGCTTCACGCGCCCTAGATCAAACACAGATCCTTTTCAACGATTTAAAATTCTACTCAATTGATATTTACATAAGTCATGAAAATGCCACATTACTTGCGAGGGGATATTGGAGTACGAGGACAGAGTACTTAAACTCCTGAGTGAAGTAGTGTCACTTTATTTACCCGAAATCATCTTTTTTAATATAAAATTCAATTTTCATATAGAACTTTTGATTAATGTCAATCTGTAACAGGTGTGGCCGGTAAAGTGTCATGCCTCAGGCGGCAGATTAGTAGTCTGGTCTGCCTCTGTCATGGAAACTAAAAATTTTTGACATAAAGTAGGCATCATAATGAAGGTTTCATGACCATTTTGGGTAAAATTAATTGTTTGGTTTCGCAGAGAATAACATAAAATGTACTTTAATAAACAAATAGTGTCGTAGGCTGGGAAAAGTTCTACAACAGTTACTTCGGTCTTTTAGACTTCAATGTTGGCTTGTATTATGTAGGAACAAACACTTAGAATTTCATATCTCGGGGTCCATACTTTTGGATAACAGGAAATAGTTTGCTTAATCTGTTTAATGAATATTTAATTTACAACTTATACAATAATACTTCATTAGAATTGACAGTCACACCGCCAAGCATATCACTCTGCGATTTAAACCAACACGTGCTTATCAAAAAACGACCAAAGCTTACGCAACTCACATAAAATAAATAATTTTTACACTGCGGTTAAATCTACTTTCCCCCGGCGGATGGTTGACAGGTACTTTGTGATATCTCCGTTATTTCTAAACGAAAAAAAAAAATTAAAATGTGCCCCTATACAAGCGGATATGACTTACGTAATCCACACCGCTGTGCGCACCCTAGTATCCTACGATTGTCGTAAGTAATCTGATTGGATGCACAAACAGGGTTAAATTCCTTTACCACGTTCAATTGGCAATTTCGGAAGCATGCGTCGTAGTTTGCAGGGTTAACATTGCCATTGTTATTATTGGTTTGTTGGTTTTGATTATTAGCATTTTGATCTTCATAGTCGAAATTATTGCCAAAATTAAATTGTCGACCTTGACGGCGAGAATTTTGAAAACCCCTTGCGGTGTTCCAGTCCCACTGTGAAAAAATGGACACTACTTGGCACAAGATTAGCGCACCTAAAATACAGAATAAATCTTTTTAATAATAATGCCGGTCAATTACTTACATAGGAAATATATCGCCGTCGCCTTCATTTTGTTAAGATACTAGCAGAAGCTGAGCCGTAATAAACAAAGCGTTGGTCATCTGTTGCTTAAATATATGCGAGGGGGGGGAAACTGGTTTTTTACGCACCGGCTGCGAAATTCCAAGCTTATCGCAAAACCAATGTCGCACGTAGACGGTAAAGAATAATGGCAGCGTTCTAATGTCCAGATAACACGATTTGGAGCTGTTGCCCAAGACGTAAACGATTGATCTCCGTTTCTTGTAAGTGTAGTATTTACCAGGTCGGAGGTCACGAAAAAACCGCGATGCAGTACATTGCTATACCACAGATTTAAATAGTATATTTAAATCTGTGGCTATACATATCGTAACTGTAGACAGTGAGTTTTTATTGAAACGTTCATAGGTCAAAAAAGGCGTAACGAAATATTGATCACATACAACGGAGCTGCACATCGTTGGCACCCTACTCCTCTACTTTCCAGTTTTAACACAGGGCACCATTGCTCATTTTGCACACTATTATCAGGTGTTCGTAACTTATTCACCAAAAACAGCACATTCGGGTCACGGATAAAATGAATGAACTTGTAAGAGTATAGTTGGTTACCATCGAATATGTGAAGAGCTTACTTTATTGGTTGTTAAACGTGTAAACTAAGAATTATTTTAAGATGTGGTTTACCTACATAGGGCAGCCCATGTGGTGAGTAGTCGGATATTACGAGTATATACCTACTACAATAGCCAAATGAGTGTACAAGGAAATGTTACATAACAACAGAAAATTGTTATAATTAGATACTACGTTTTCAATAATTATTAATCTTTGTTTGGATGTTAAAGTCGAATGGCAGAGAACAATGGCCATCGACACGTTTAATAATAATAATACTTATAAATACAATATAGGTTTGTTGTTTTCAAAAAGTCATTGTAAAAGAGCATCCTTTATCGTTAATCTGGTATCGCAGGCAGGGGGATTTTCGGAAGCCATTAGATATCTATGTGAAAAACGAGTATGATCTATCCTAAGTCTTCTCTTGATGATTTTGTCTCTTCTTTACATTGGTGGTCTTTTGGCTGGAGTGATGTTGGCTTGGACTTGATGTAATTTAGTGTTTAGCCTCCATGGCCTTAAGGCATTTTAGTTCAGATGGGCTGGCCGACATACAGTATGCTTCCATAGTCTAATTTCGAATGAGCCAAAACTGTAAATTCTTACTTGTTTGCGTTCTTCTTCCGCTCCCCAATGATAGTGTGCTAAGGACTAGATTATATTTATGCGTTTGAAACATTCACCTTTTGTATTCTGTGTCTGTTGTTTCCATGTAAGACATTTATCGAATGTTATTCGTAAGAATGTGTGGTAGACTGATTACAGTGGGATTCCATTTAGATTTATATTGGGTTGTTGAGAGTTGTGTCCTCTGTGGTTTTGGGAGGTGAAAAATTATACCCACGCTTCTTGACCATGCGTGGACTTTTTCCAGAGCCCTTTAAAGTAAAATAGTTGTAGTACTTGTAATTTTGCCTTGGCAATAAAGAAATTACGGCACACGGGACGTATTTCCCAAATCGGAACGGAAGCACAAATTAACTGACGGTATCTACGAGCTACGGGAAAATGAAACAAAGAAAATAAAAAGGTCCCCTCTAAATCATTCTGTTACCTTTTATCTATAGAATTCCCAAAATACGGAACGGGGACATAGGAATTTCCAGCCGGCCGATGTACTCCGGGTGATAACATCCAATAATTAAAACTTCTTTACTTAATTGCCAGACTCTCTGACGTCTTACACACAATATTACAATCAGACGAGATTTGCTCCAATACATCCGATTAGCTACCGGTATTTATACTCACTTAAAGGGTCGGATTAAAAAAAGATTACAGGCGGGTGTTAGAAACATAAGCAAAAAGATTAAATAAACATATCTCCTAAAGAGATTCGTTACTGCGCTGCAGCAAAATATTTATAATAAACACCTGAGCTCATAGGATCATGTATTTCCTCATGTGCTCAAAAATTCCTGGTGTGTTGCGAATTTGCTGTCTACGACTACGACGATATGTTTTTTAAACATTGTTTCTTATTTTTAGTCATAAAATCCGGCTGCATATAGCCAGCCCACAACTTTGGTAACACCCTGTATTGCTAGAATTCTTGAAAAACTCTTTAGATCCAGTTTTAGTAATCTTCTTAGAAATATTCATTGAGTTTTCCGAAGCTTTTCGGGAGCATTTGGGAAATATTATTAGTATTTCTTTTGTACATCCAACGCTTCCTATATAATGCCAAATATCTGAGTTCTTCACCGCCTCAGCAATGGTAAAAACTCTTGACTTTTAGTTTTTGAGTCTGGAATACTAATTACCAGCATCGATTCTCCATCTTCTATGTAGTCTACGTATTTTTAACAATTCCTTTGATCTGCAAGACTTCTATAGTGCAACTTCCTCCAATATCCATAATTGTCACAATCTACAACCACAAACTTTGGAAGCATGAGCATGCAATGTTTTACACAAACTAAACTATTTCAGCAAGTGACATCTTAGGGGATGAAAGAAGCGCCTTCGTGTACTTCGTGACTTTCGTCTTCAACATTTTTAGAAGGGATTACAGGCATGATTTTACCAAAATACAAAACTCTTAATTTTTGCACCCTATCGCACTGGAGGTGCGAACGCGCTATGGAAATCTGGCCAGAACTCTTCCTAGTTCCCAGAAAAAATTTGTTGTTATAAAGTTAGAAATAGCATCACCATATAATACCTATGCAATTGTACGAATTCTAACTATGAAGTTAGTAATACAATTCCAGCAAGGGATGTCAATCTCCATAGATGAAAGAGCTTTCGCTTTTAAAGTATAAGTCATTATTATAATACTATTGATCACAAAAATTTTGTTTTTAATTAGGCTCGGCACCAAGAAAATATAAGTCTTTCTCTTCTCAGAATAAAATTTCTTGAAAATCTTCTTATGGAATCCACAGAAATGCTACGCATTCCTAAGAATTTCTTTAAATCGACACATAGCAATAAATTGTGCTAGAAGCTATATCCAAAGGTGGAGAACGAGCCTAAAGGAAAATTGGTGTCTGATACCAACCTGATACGTGTTGTCAAGCTTCTTTTGTCATTTAATGTGACAGTTGTAATCTGTTTGGTACCTGTTGGTGAAAAAAATTAATAAAGCGGTAAACTTATTCTCTTTCAGAAATAAAAAATCAAATTATTATAGACCCGATAATTGTAATATCACATTTTTAGTGTAAATGGTAAAGTATTTCGCGTATAGTTTCCGGTAGGTTTATATCTGAGCATTTTCCATAGAATTCTGTTTTTCCCTACATTCTTTATCCAGGTAGGCGTGGGAATGAGAATAACCCTACTGCACGTCGTAAGGGGCAACGGTGGGGAACTCACCTGTCTTCTTTGGACCTTCGTGTTGAAAAAATTCATCTGGTGTATTTGATATTGAGACTTGGAATCACGGCCACGGACTGGAAATCTCTCAGAGGCTTAAAGCCTTTTCATATGGACTGTTCCAAAACCCGTAGGCATCCATTATTTAAAATGAAAATGCTATTAATAGAAATGTACATTAAATAATCGGCAAAACGTTTCAATCGACATCAAAAGACTAATTTCAAACTGTTCAGAGACTGTCTATTACTCAACCGCCCAAAGCTCCTTATTTGCGGCAACTATTTGCATACGCTGAAAGTTTTCCACCTCTGCTACCATAATTCCCGGAACGAGTTCGCAAATTGCAAAATTTTAGATTGTAGAGTTTTCTATCAGCAGTAATTCTCCTAAATGTTTTGTTGTGCTTGAACTTTATTGTAAAATCAGCATAGATAACAGTCAATACAGCTCTAGCGAAACCCTTCCCTACTAATCCCTATTAATAAATCCGTTTTCGCAATATTTTAGTGTATGTGATGCGTTAAATGGGGGAGCAGTAGAAATAATGAAATAATATGCAACCTATTTCAGTTGGGTTCTATATTGGAAACAGCGACTTTGAGTTCTTCTGCTAGTTGAAGCTTTCGATATTTAGATTTTAACGAAACGAGAGCAGAAAATCTTGTTTGTGGGAAACAAAATCCAAATTGCTTATGACTGTTACTACCGCGAGAACTCCCGATTTGGTTTGCTCAGTGGGACGCCGAAAAAATATCCATTAACTTGTGCTACCCCAATTAATCACCGTTGAGGAGAATTCACGTTGTCAATTTCCGTAGCGCCTTTGGTAATTATTGCAACTCTTTTGATGGTACATAATTTAGTTATCTATAACCTTTTCCCAAGCTTAGGGTGCGGTTTCCGAGTGCATATCGTGTATTTCGATACGAATGTCTTTTGTGCTCGTAAAGTACATCTACGACCTATATCCTATTGTGGGTTTTTAATTTTTCTTTCCACCACCATCAGCAGAGATGGCAAGTGTACATAATAAAACCCTTTCACTTTGGTTTACTTTTTTTAAAGAGCCCTCGATGAGATAAATACTTTTACAGTCTAAACTAAATTAGAATTCGTGCCTTTTGAGTAATTTTGCACGGCGTATTGCAGAAGCTATTCCAATTTTTTAAGATCAAAAAGTTCCCAGTAATTACATTGACCTTAAGCTCTGGGGTAAAAGTAAATTTCGTTTTGTAGTAAATTGCGAAATTCGTTCCGCATTTACATTTCTTAAACGTAAGAAGCCGACGCTTTATTTGGCCTTTCGATGCCCTAGGGGTTTACGTGTGGAAATAATATTTTTTATAGCATAACGTCGATTTAGAGGCTGCCTAAACCATGGATTTTAAATGCTTTGCAATGTACTGTCTTGCAGTGATTGGAAAATCAGCGCATAACCCTGTTTACATCACGATATTTTTAACAATAAGAGCTACACAGTCGACCTAAATGCCACCTGTAACAAGCTTATTGACAATGGGCCAATCCAATAACCCCATAGGATATATCACATCACCCTGCCGTTTTTCTAAATCCGCTTTATACGTGGTTTCTTGTTTATTAAAAGCATTGCAAAAGAAGTGTTTTTATGATTATTTTAACGTTATAAAGTAAATCGAAGCCATACTAAAAGCCAAACTTTTCTATACTTGATGTGGTGTCATCTGGTTTACATTGCAGATACAGTTTGCAAAGTAGTTTCGCT